GTCTGTCACATGTGTTCAATGTGAACCTGCTTTCATCTGTGAAGAGCACAGGGTGCCAGTGGCCAATTTGCCAATCTTGGTGTTCTCTGGCAAATGCCAAACATCCTGCACAGTGTTGGGCTGTAAGCACAACCCCCACCTGTGGACGTTGGGCCCTCATACCACCCTCATGGCATCTGTTTCTGATCGTTTGAGCAGCCACATGCACATTCGTGGCCCACTGGAGGTCATTTTGCAGGGCTCTGGCAGTGCTCCTCCTGTCCCTCCTTGCACAAAGGCGGAGGTAGCGGTCCTGATGTTGGGTTGTTGCCCTCCTACGGCCTCCTCCACATCTCCTGATGTACTGGCCTGTCTCCTGGTAGCGTCACCATGCTCTGGACACTACGCTGACAGACACAGCAAACCTTCTTGCCACAGCTCACATTGATGTGCCATACTGGATGAGCTGCACCACCTGAGCCACTCAGGTAGTGGCTCAACCCACTTGTGTGGGTTGTAGACTCTGTCTCATGCTACCACTAGAGTGACAGCACTGCCAGCATTCAAAAGTGACCAAACCATCAGCCAGAAAGCATAGGAACTGAGAAGTAGTCTCTGGTCACCACCTGCAGAACCACTCCTTTATTGAGGATGTCTTGCTAACTGCCTATGCTTTCCACCTGTTGTCTATTCCATTTGCACAACAGCATGTGAAATTGATTGTCAATCAGTGTTGCTACCTAAGTGGACATTTTGATTTCACAGAAGTGTGATTGACTTGGAGTTACATTGTGTTGTTTAAGTGTTCCTTTTATTTTTTTTGAGCAGTGTTTTTTAACCTTATTTCTCTTTCCCTTTCAAATGCATTGCTAATAATTTGTCATAAGACTTAACCTTCAAGAAAAACATTTTTTAAAAGCCTTTTCTTTTAGAAACTAGGACTGTCCAAATTGTTTGATACATTGTAAAAAAAAAACTTTTGTTTTCTGCTATTCCCAAACTTAAACTAAACTCACGAAGCAAGTTGTTGGAACTTGGAAAAGCTCTGTGAATGTATATTTACCAATATCCATTCTGACGTTTTTTTCCCCTTGCAAATATTTTTTTTTACTTTTATTCAAAATACAGTGCTATTTTAAAATCCTTAATGTCTAATTTTTCATGATGTAACTGGACAGATGACTTTTCCTAATCCAATCAACTTTTACTTTGAAGTATCTCTGTTGTGCAATCCATAAAAAGAAACGTAAGTTTATGTTCCATGTTCTCTTTTTTGTAAAAAAAATAATATCCTTTTTATTTTGGAACATTCCAAATAAATTGTGAATTAAAAGATCTTCCCGTCTTGGTATTTAATTGAGGTCCATCACACCGAGGCACGAACCTAGAGCCAATTTTTGGCCACAGCAAATATTTACCCAATAGATAAGAAGGGGTTCTAATTTTTCCTGATCAAGTACATTTAAATGCTAGAGCAGCGATGGCAAGCCTGTCAATAATTTGAAAAGTGCCTAACTTGACTCTGAAGGTGTCTCCCAAACAACAGAGACAATTTTCTACCCCACTCCCAACTAGGTTACCCTAAATAGTGGTACTGAAGGCAGTGAAGTAGGGATCTGGGCCTCAACCTCAATTGTAGTATCAATAGAGATTCTCAGTTATCCAGATCATGGTTATTCCAAATGTGCATTTCAATGACAACTGGACTTTGGTGTGTTTTTTCCTTGAAAACATTTCACTTCTCATCCAAGAAGCTTCTTCAGTTCTGACTGAGTGATGGGGAATAGAAGGATTTACAGTATATTGTTTGCAGTCATCTGGATGTTAACATTTTCAAGGAAAACAAACAAACAAGAAAGTCCAGTTGACTTCTAAAAAGCACGTTTGCCTCCAGTACCACTCGAAAAAGGTTGCCTTAGGGAATAGTGCAATTTAACTCACAGCTCAGTGCTCCCCAGGAAAGCGCTTACCTGAGGAGGAAAGGTAAGCACATTGCTTACCTTTAGGTGATGTTTTCTTTCTGTGGACAGGCCTCTGTAGCAAAGGTGGTATTCAGCAGGTTCTGACCAGTTCTGGAGAACTGGTCAGAACTAAGAGGTCTGTAAGGGGTGTGCGTAAGTGCACAATCGTGCCTACAATCCCTGTCCTTTTGTCCCCGTTTATTCGTACCTATTTCCTGTATTCTTACTCATGTTCATATTTATACCTATGATCTTGTAAGTGATTGACAAATAAATAAATAGATAGATAAATAAATAAATAAACAAACAAACAAACTGGTAATGGAAATTTTGAGTAGTTTGAAGAACCGGCAAATATCACCTCTGAATGGCCCTGCCCCATCTATTCTCTGCCTCCCATTGAGTCCCAGTTGATCAGCTGGCTCTTCTTTGGATGCCCAGCACAGGAGAACGGAGCTGGAAAGCAAGTTAGTGGGGTGGGGAGGGAATGGGAAATTTGCAGTGTCCTTCCCCCAGGAGTGGGGAGGAAATGGAGATTTTGCAGTACCCTTCCCCTGCCACGCCCACCAAGCCACGCCCACCAAGCCATGCCCACAGAACCGGTAGTAAAATAATTTGAATCCCGCCACTGCTCTGTGGCCTAACAGAACCTGCTGCAGGACACACAGGCCTTCATTCTCGAAGTGGCTTTGGAGAAGGCTCTGCAGCCTTCAAAACCACACCAAAACACACTCCATTCACAGACTCTGGAGACCCCATTCTCACATGGCCTCCGCAGCCTCTAAAATTCCTGTGACAATGAGGCATGCTTTGGAGAAGGGTTGGTGGGGGTTGGTGAACTAGCGTGTCACCCAAAACATCATGATGTGTTACCTTTGACACGTGTGGGAAGCTCCCCTCCTATAAGAATGAAATATTTTGGGAAATATTTTAAAAAGGCAGAATATTATATTGCCCTAAATGACAAATGGAGAAACATGCTCTTAAAAGCCAGAAAGCAGGCAATGAGTCTAAAGTACTGGCTTCCTTGGATTTTTAATCTCGTTTAACAAATACAATTAATCCTAGATTCTGGCTTCCTTGGGGTTTTAATCCTGTCTGGAATGGATAACCAAATCTGCATTTTTAAGAGGTGGCCTCCTCAAGTTTCTTGGAGGGAGGTAGATTGAGTCTGCTTTCTGGCTTTTAAGAGCATGTTTCTCTATTTCTCTTTTAGGGAAGTATAATATTCTGCCTTTTTTTTTTAATATTCCCCAAAATATTTCATTCTTTTAGGAGGGGGGCTTCCCACACACACGTGTCATAGGTTCACCATCACTGTGCTAGGAGGAAAGTAACATTAAAATGATCTTGAGGATAAATAGTTCCAAGCTCAGCTTTCCCTCCATGTGCAGGCAAATACAGAGAGAGAGAGAGACCACAAAATTCCCTACACCCCTTTGAAACAACAG